CGGAAGATACATGTTGTTATATTATGTAGACTTACGAATAATAATAATATCATAGTGTGTATAATAAAACATATTCAAAAGAATTTGAGTTTGAAAATTCCAACAGATCATGACCCAGCGTGTACGTGTTTTTGGGAACATCAGCTTTTGTGGGATGTCCGGGATCGTACGGTTTGCACTCTGCAGTAACGATCTCATTTCATTACACGTATAGCGTATTATGTGGAGTGGGCAGACTGAGAATAACAGCATATAGCTGTACTTGTCCACATTTGTTAGCTATAAATATAAAGATATTGTCCTCTAACAAACTTGGTATTTTCTATGACAGTTGTCCCGTAGAAATGTTAAAGCGTAAGCTCCAAGAAAGGTCTAATCACAGGCCATAAGCCAATCATGTTGCATACCTTATACCGTCATATCGTGATAAAGTTCCTGTTTTTGAGGAAGGATTCCTATTTTACCAAGTAAAGACTGTGTTAACGATTTAAGTATTATCTTATCTGTGTAACGATAGTATTATCTTATCAGATCACTATTCCAGCAAGTGTGATGGTGGACTAAACCCAAATTGTCCAATACATGGTACAGTTCTAGTGTCACAGTGGCACAGCTCAGTGGCACAGTGTAGTGGCACAGCTTAGTGGCACAGTGGCACAGCTCAGTGGCACAGTGGCACAGCTTAGTGGCACAGCTTAGTGGCACAGTGGCACAGCTCAGTGGCACAGTGGCACAGCTCAGTGGCACAGCTCAGTGGCACAGTGGCACAGCTTAGTGGCACAGCTTAGTGGCACAGCTTAGTGGCACAGTGGCACAGCTCAGCGGCACAGCTCAGTGGCACAGCTCAGTGGCACAGTGGCACAGTGGCACAGCTCAGTGACACAGTGGCACAGCTCAGTGACACAGTGGCACAGCTCAGCGGCACAGTGGAACTTGTACAGTTGTCTGTTGTACTGGTTTTATGGATATCAATTGTCAAGGTAACAGCAACCTATAATTATACCTGACTGATAACTTGATACTTTGTGTTGTACTTAATGACCAGGTCCCAAACACACCTGGTGGTGGTGGGGTTCTCTACAAATCACTCATCAGAGTTATATGTCAACATCAGAGTTATATGTTAACATCAGAGTTATATGTTAACATCAGAGTTATATGTTAACATCAGAGTTATATGTTAACATCAGAGTAACAAGTTAAAGAATACAGTGTTACTGTTAACTTTTCATATGATTTGATACGGTAACACATATGACAATGTTACAGGTACAGGTACTCAAGTTCGACATGCACTCTTTTTCGACACGTACTGTAGTTCGACAAACCCTAAAGTGCGCTACCTCGAACTAGAGTTTTGAAATCTCCGATCTCAAGCAACGATCCTTTACGAGCTTGAAATCTATTCGTTTGTTTGTTTTCCACTTGTCTCATGCTGTTTAACTACGTGAATGTAATCTCTATTATATATATGTGTATATATGTATATAATATCTACCACATACCGAGTACCGGTCTAGAGATTTGGCTGCTGAACCGGAAACAGCCGGATATCAATATATTTTCCTGTTAGCTAGACCAGAACCGAGTGGTAAACAGGAGAATTAAAACTATACTAATATATATATAATATAAAAGGTTCTGGAATTTCTAACCACTTGTTTCTAGATGTCAGAAAATTGTTTTATCTGCCATTGCACCCTGTGATCCTATCATACCCGGCAATAGCCGTTGGATTACAGGCAGAAACTAGAGTACGCTACTTGGACTCTAGTTCGACACGCACCGAAGTTCGACAGGGATGATATCTGTCGAACTTAAGTTTTCGAACTAGAGTACGTGTCGAACTAGAGTACGTGAATCAATATGACATGAATGTTAAATTTAAATATACAGGGTGGCCCATAAGTGACTACCCACACGCAACCTCTTAATAACTCACGTAATTCGTCTCCAAATTGCACCAAAATTTCAGAGATTATAGATATGGGTCAAACTTAGATTTCCTGAAAGTTTCGTAAGCCACGCCCAATTACAGTGGGCGTGGCGTGACACTCCCTCTTTTTCACTATTGTCTTCATCAAATGAGAACGCTTTAAGCTAAGAACTCAAAATTTTTTGCACACATTTGGCTTGATAATTGAAAACTTTTCCAAAAGTTTCAAGTTCATTGGTTTAAATATGGCTGAGTTATGACCATTTTAAAATCCATCGGATATGTGATCCGAGCACTCAGTCAGTGATATTTGCACTCAATTAGTGATCTCGTCACCCAATCTGATCAAGAGTAAGGCGTTAGCGTGAATTAATGAGGTTCATTAGGCTTTGATTGGATACCGATGATGACTTTGCTAGAAAGGAAAACACAAATTTTTAGGATAAATCCGGGTGCCAATCTTAGGTGTGTCCATCACGTCACCAACAACCATCGTGATGTTTTCTACAGTCCTCTTGTGATGAATGTCAAAGCAGCTTTTCCGGCAAGGGGGTGGTCGGTTGAATTTCATCTGAAATTGTCGTTTAATCTGAGGGTAGAACTCCCCATTTTCTTTCTTCAGGTAGACGAACAATCGTTGTTCTGCAGTAAAGGGAGGATAGTGAACCATTTACGATGATTCAATGGATGGTTCATTCCTTTTTATTGATTGTAAGGAACCTGTGACTAGCAGGGCTAACAAGCCCTGAAATGGTGACACCACCATAAATTCGTGTGATAGCGTTTTAGGTGCTGTCAGCTGTATAGGCCGGCCCATAAGCAGGCTGCAACCAATCAAGCGGTGCATGTGAGCCAAACAGGTCATTAACCAAGTGACGAGATCACTGACTGAGTGCTCGGATCACGTATCCGATGGATTTTAAAATGGTCATAACTCAGCCATATTTAAACCAATGAACTTGAAACTTTTGGAAAAGTTTTCAATTATCAAGCCAAATGTGTGCAAAAAATGTTGAGTTCTTAGCTTAAAGCGTTCTCATTTGATGAAGACAATAGTGAAAAAGAGGGAGTGTCACGCCACGCCCACTGTAATTGGGCGTGGCTTACGAAACTTTCAGGAAATCTAAGTTTGACCCATATCTATAATCTCTGAAATTTTGGTGCAATTTGGAGACGAATTACGTGAGTTATTAAGAGGTTGCGTGTGGGTAGTCACTTATGGGCCACCCTGTAGGTATCGGGAATGTCACTTCTGGCTCACATGTGCCAGACAATGCAAAATATTACAGATCAAACCATTTGTGTCTGATCACTGTGTAGTGTGTATTTTGGAGCTATTTTAGGTTTCCGAAGAATCGACTCGGAGAACTTAAATATCATTAAATACCATGAAGGGATTTATTTGGAATCTAAGGACCGATGTTATTTATTTTTTAAGATCTTCACGGCACCGGGAAGGAGGTTGATAAAGAAAACCTGACACAAAATGTTGGCCGATATCCATTCCATGTAGGAACGTAAAAGGAACACAACAGGTGTCCACTCTCCAATAGCAGAACTAGTTACGTAACTTCTCAGACAACTAGCCATATCCACTCTCCACTCTCCGCTCTCCGCTCTGTGTTATAACAATTACATGCGGAAATCAGCAGAAGATATTACACCTATAAGCATGTTATTGAGCTAATACCACACACACACTCACACTCTCGGGGTGTAATATAGTTAACTGAATTACACGCACTCCGGGATATTGTATTAGCAATTACACGCCCCTTTCAATCACGTGATACTCATTTCTGTCACGTGATACTCGTTTTCTACACCATCACGTGCGTTTAATGTACCCTTAGAAAGTACTCATGTGGATAACCTGAGCAAACATACCATGTATAATATAATGTGTGAATATTTGGCAAGATCTCGATTCTCGGGTGATGGAATGTTACTTTTGGTAAGGAGTGTTTTAAATGACAAATATACCATATTAATTACATCAGCAGGATACGTGAGTGTGACGTGTGTGATGTGTGTAATGTGGTTGGACTTTTAACATTTTTTGAATACTTTGAGCCAAGGACTGAAGGATTAAAGCATCATGTTCGTAAGTCTGGGGTGTAGCTGTAAGCAGAACTTTCAAGTTTGAATTATCAAGCCGAGAAATGTGCGTGGTACCAAATATTTCATTTTCCCACCCGGGAAATGCACAATAATATTTACATAAACACTGTATAACATAAACCTGAATACCCATGAAAACATACATGTGATAATTAGCGTTAATAATAATACGTGTGATTCAAATTAACCGATTAAATAACCAAACTTCACAACATTCTGACAACCTTAAGTAGGTGGTTAAGAGTTATCTCATCCTTACCCGGGTCTACACAGGTCTGACTCATGTCACGTGGTGTTGTGATGACGTCACGTGGTGTTGTGATGACGTCACGTGACATTTTAAAAAACACAGTATTATTCCTGACGGCTGGTTCATCTCCTATTCTTAATGACATTAACTAGAACTGCTTTGAGCAGTTATAAACCGACAATGCCATAGTTTGTAGTGTGAGAGTGTGTAAGTGTGTGGGGGCGTGACAGGATGCGACTGTAATTCTTAACATACCACACGTGACATTGTATTGTCACGTGACAAACACATTGTCTTGTTGGGAGAATGTATGTGATGTGTTAAGTGCTGCAGAGAGGAGTTTTAGTTATAATTGTCTGTGTTTTTACGGAAAATGGAGGGAATTGTGCTGTCGGAAGGTTTGTTCCAGAATGAGAAGGAAGAGGAACCAATTGTTAACAAACTATTTTGAAACATGTGAGTTATTTGTTATTATGTTATTAAACTGTACATCCACAATGAAAAGGGTAAGGTACTATTCGAATAGGTGTCACAATCTGTATGTTCACGAGACTAATTTCGGTATGTAATAAATATATAATGAGGAACTGTAAGCTTAAAACTAATTTGTGGATTAACAACTTTATTAAACATAAAATGTTAGCAGCCTCACATAACATTGCATGTATTCAAGATGATAACTTAATTACAAACCTTAACTTTCTCAGGCATTGAATTCAGTTTCTTTAAGAGGCGCTTGTTGACAATGGCAATATCTTCCATTGTCAGCTTTGCTTCATCCATCTCATCGTTTTTATCGTTAATCTCTTGAGTAAGTCTGGATGACAATAAATACATCATTGAGAAGAGGAAATGACTACACAAGACAGATTCTAGATCTCAAAACCAAAAGAAAATTTAATGAAAACCCACAATTTTTGGAACTGATAAGTGATAACTAATTAAAGGCATGATATTTAAAAACAATATTGCACCTTTAACAATATAAAAACCAAAACCAACATCAAAATTTCTTATCTCATACTGAACCTACTTAAATTCATCAAATTCCTTGAATTCTCACCTCTCCTTCTCATCGAGAAGTTCGCTGAGCATGAGTCTGAGGTCTTCATAACTCTCACGCTGCCCTCCTTCCGACATGTGGACACTGTGTTCATCCTCTTCTTGATCTGCGGTAATAGATGATTTATATTTAACTTTATTACAACACTACATTATTAGGTTGGATTATTAGGTTGAAAATACAATATGATGGTAATGACAATATATCATTCATGGTTATTATGATTTTAAATACTAAAATGTTGTGCCGAAATCACTGTAGGACTAGAATGGAAAACGATAAAAGCCCAATCAACAGTAATAATGCAAAAACCTTCAGCTTCTTCGTCCAATATTGGCATCACATCCAACAGGCTCATATTGCTACTGCACTACTCTGCAGAGAAAACCTCAACACAAACACCCTAAGCTTTACTTCTGGTCATGTTTACTATATCTGAAGAAACTATGTTAATTTAATAATTAAATCTGATGCTTAAAGTAAAGTAAGTAACGTAAAGTAAAATTTATGACATCACATCATCACACATGTTTACAAAATATCATTGCACTATGCTTAAAAATAAATAATAAATATTTCCCCACTAACATTAATTATTTATCAAAACATTATCCTATTATTACGACAGGCAGACATACAGTGAATAAAAGAGTGTTAGATTGAACTGAATAACAATGATTCTGTTACATGCCATAGATCAAAACATTTTCAAGTTTCCATTGCAGACCCCAACCTACAGGGTATCCTAAAAAGGCAACTATGTAACTTTTATTAATAACTTGACTCAGATCATATGAAACTTCAGAAGTCATGTGCTATGCTCTCTTGCTTATCTCTACTTGATAATTACACGCTGAGCGGATTACCCTGTTACTGTGTTACACCGGATATACAAGCGAATTATACATTGCACATTGTATTATGGCTGTTCGGTATGATTCTGACAAGTATTTGAAGAAAATATTCGAGGAGGGAATCGGGTCTGACGAAGTTTTTGGGGAGGATAATCTGAAGGAAGTGCAGAAATCATGTAATTCATTGTTTAACGACATGTGTCAAGTTTATAACTGTGATGACCCTGGGGATTTTGAACCTGATATGTTAAACAAGACCTCTGTTGTAAAGGCCCAGATGGCTGAGTGGTTGCATGCGGCGATTTATCTTCTTCATCAGACTTGTTTGCCGATGATGTCTTCTGCCAGAAGAAAGATTGAAGATTTGCAGGAAGAGAATATTTCTGATAAAAAGGAAATGATCACTCTGCAGAATAAAGTTATCACCATGAAAGATAGAGATTTAGCAATCATTCAGCATTCAGTTCAGAAGGAGATAAAGTCTTATTCTTCAATACTACAGGAGAGCTGCTCAACACTGCAGGAGAGCTGTTCAACTGCTCTATCACCGACGAAGATTGCTACAGCAGTTAAGAAGATCGTCAAGGAAGAGGACAGAAGTAAAGAAGTTGTTGTGTTCGGTGTTGAAGAGGAGAATGGCGAGTGTCCAGCTACAAAAGTGTCTAAAATCCTCGAACAGCTGGAGGAGAGGCCACGTATCACGGGATGCAGGAGAATCGGTCAGCGTGGAGCTGATCTCAAGAGACCGATCATATTCAGTGTTCAGAGTGCGGACGTGGTTTATCAAATACTGAAAAAAGCTAAGCGACTTAAAGATATAGAAGGTCTTAAGACAGTCTATATTTCACCAAATAGAACTCCCGAAGAACGTATCAGCCGTCAGAAACTCGTTACCGAACTAAAGAAGAAGCGATCAGACGACCCGTCTGGAAGCTATTTCATACGGAAGGGTGAAATAGTGAAGGCTGATAAATGAACTTGAAGGTTTTGTATCGTGTGATATGTTTTGTCTGTGCATTTACGAGAGTGCCTTTTGACCACAGCTCACAATTCATGATTTGCTTTTAATTTTGTTATATTGAGTATCACAGCTCACATTTCATTCTTGCCTGAAGGGCCCATCTTTTGCGAGCGTGACTTGTCATGCAATCATCGTGTTTTGGTGTCCCGTCATTATTTACAGACGGAAGCATGTTTTTACCAGTTTTATTTTCTGATCGATTTATTGCTGTTCTGTAAATTTTGAAAAGATTTTCATAAAAAAATTATGCTCCACAATCTGCGGCACAAATTTCAGTGCAACAATACATCAGGAACCTGTTCATTCATTTTACTGCCAGAGTGGTTGAATTTCTTCAAGTGCTGCTGACTGAATTTCTTAAAGTGCTGCTGTTGAGCATATTTCACTTAATTTGGTTCATTGTGTTCAGAATCTGAAACCAATCGGCACCTAAAATTTCAAGGCTCTAATTCATTCAGGAGCTTCGGAATGATAATGTGATCCACTCTGTAAACAGCTACAGGATCTAGTCAGCTTGTATGTGGAATTACCAGATTAGGCGGTTGGTGCTTAGCTGCATGTTAACGAGTCTGTAGGCTGATCAGGTATCTAATGAGTACATGGCACCAGCAATACACTGCATGTAAAACACCACTCATGTGAAGTTTTTTCTTCAGCAAATCATGTGGTTATCCAAGCTTAGCATCAGATGATCTCCTCTTTGGGACCATGAGTGATATTGATTTGAATCAAATTGTTTTTAGTAAAACAGGTCCTTAGGAAAAAATTTTAAAAAGTACTAGCAAAATTGCACTAATTTTTTTCAATTTTACTTTTTACTTTATTAGGGGGCGGGGGCGCCAGAATCCAACGTTACGCCACTGAAGAAGGCATGGACTGCCCCTGTATCTAGTGTTTGATGTCTCCTGCACAGTGGCGTAACGAAGGGCCCTGCTGACCCCGCTGTGCAGGGGGGCGCCGTCTTAGGGGGGCGCCAAATCGTCGTTTGAATGTGGGACAATTTCGAAAACTTAACTAAAGTACTAGCAAAACTGCGCGTTTTGCTCTAGATACACACTTTTTTAGAGATTTTTACCGGCGTATCTTCTAAAATCACCTAATTTGTTCAATTTTAGGGAGGGGCACCAAAAGGGGAGGGGCGCCAACAGGGGGGCGCCTTTTCGGCAGGGGGGCGCCAACAGGCAACGTTACGCCACTGCTCCTGCAACCTGATCCCTGGGAGAAGAGTTACGAGGGATAGATGAAATGACTAAGTGCTTAACGGGTGATACTCGTAAAATATCTGTTCCATATATATTGGACTCAATTCAATGTGCAAGGATATGCAGATGACCACCAGGTATATAAAACTTTCAAACCTTGTGATCAGGTAAATGTTCTGGGCATCCAAATTGTGAATTGCGCTAAGACCATACAGCGCTGGATGGTTGAATATTGCCTTCAACTTAATCCTGGAAAAACACAAATACTTATCATCGCCTCACCTCAAGTTCTAAACCAGGTCAGTATAGGGGGAGTTAAGCTATCAAATGGTACCTGTATCAGATTTGTCAGCACAACAAAGAACCTTGGTGTTCAAATTGACCATCATCTTACTTTTGAGCCTCAAATCATGTCCCTCAAAAAGCATTGTTTCAGACTCCTTAGGAATGTAATAAGGAGAAAATATCTCTTTAGTAAAGCTCAGCTCAAGCTTATAATTAACAGCATCATTGTCTGCAAATTGGACTACTGCAATGCTCTTTATTATGGAATTAGTGACAACCTCATCCACCAACTCCAACTCGTTCAGAATGCAGCTGCTAAAGCTATAGTAGGACTATATAAATATGATCATCTAGGAGACACTCTGAAAGACCTTCATTGGCTGCCTATTAGTTACAGAATTCAATATAAGTTATTGCTTCTTGTCTATAAATGTCTTAATGGTATGGGACCAGATTATTTAAGTGATATGTTTAAATATGCCAATTATAATCATCTTATCTATTTGACTGAACCAAGAGTATATTCACAGTATGGAGAAAGATCGTTTCAGAAGGTTGGCCCTAAATTATGGAATGAGCTGCCTCTTGAAATTAAGAATTGCATGTCACTGGAATCTTTTAAAGTGTATCTGAAAACGTTTCTTTTTAAACGTGTTTTTGATATTAATTAATTTACTACTTTTTCAACGTGTCTACTGTTAAGTGCATACCCTTAACCTTGTAATTTAGTGTATCAAGTCTTTACAATTTTCTATGGTTTGGAACCTAAATGTGGATTGCTTTTCAGGTTTTCTTGTATCCTGACTTGTTTTCGTGGCACACCTGTGCATTTTAAGTTGTTGTGCCACTATAATCTATAAGTTTAAATTATTATTATTATTTATTGGACCGTCGACGAGACCAACTCGGCACACGTCCTGGTAGGTTGTAAACCTACAACGAAGTACCCGCTTCCGAATAACGTGTCGAAGAACAGTTTTTTGTCAGATTTGTTGCTCATGATTTATGATTGTGCTCTGCCAATTCCATCACTCGATTTAAATGAATGTTTATTATATTGTTTGAATGATATTTTACTAGTTCATACCATTTACCCACTGTGGATGATAAATTACGATTTCAAACGTTCTTGAGTCATTAACACTGATCACATTGTTGCCTTTTTGGATACCCTTATTAAATAATAAATCTATACAGTGCAGTAACAAAGAACTGTTCCATATTGTCGTTGTAATAAGTTGACAGCCTTATCAGGCTTACGTTATTTTTTAAATTTTCATTTGTTAACATAACATAACATAACATAACATTATAAATAATGCCTCTCTGGGCATCTCAAAAAGAAATTCATAGAAAATGAACACTTTACGTTTGAAACCGTATAGTTACAAACGTTTAATAAAATTCAACTAAATACCTTTGCTATTAACCTTGATATTAACTTTGTTTACCTGAGGACCCCAGGCTATTATGTTCATTAACGAATGAAGATTTGGCGGAATGACAGGCTGAGCGCGGCGCAGTAATAACCTTGTTGGATCTAAATTCAAAAATTAAATTATTTTTATAAACTACAAATTTGCTACATATGATTTAAATGCTACTTGATTGTTAATTCTTGGAAAAGATAAAATAAACGATTTAAAATTATCTTTAGTTGATCATTTTTATATTACAAAGGTTTATATTTTTACCCCAGTTTTTAAAATGTGTACCATTTTTATAGCATTTAATTTATTGTATTATATTGGAAATGTGCACTGTGCTTTCCGCGGTGGAAATATAAACGATATTAATTCATCGCAGCTAGGCGAGGCCCAATCGTGTATCTCGCTGATCTAGCGAGAAGCATAATTGAGTGCGCGGCGCGGCCCAGTAAACATTGCGCTACAAATGTGATATGGTAATATCCAGCTTTATAAATTTTCTGAGCTCTAGCTGGTTTGTGTACAGCATACTTTAATTTTTAATTATAATCTCACGATCATTAATTAATTGGCGATGCCAAGTTTTTCACAATTTGATCTTGTTAAGGTTTATAATACATTATAGGAACTCACGATTTGCAATTTTATGCGCGGCGCATGGCATGGCATCAAAAAATCAAAAATCAAAAATATAATGACAGAAACATCATCACATATCATCAAAAATATATCTACTAAAGTTTTAAAATTATCTTAAATCTATTGGCCTAGACAACCTTAAGTTAAAATGAATTTAATTTACATACTTTCCATATTATCAGGGATATTTTATACGATATATAAGATATATACAAAAACATATACGTTATACGACCACAGCGCAGACAGTCACATACCTCCAAATATTGTGAAGACTAGTGGCAATGTCAATTTTATATTTTCTCGAATTTTCTGTACACGAATGACGACACTGTGACTAAAGGAACTAATGACAAATATAACGATAACAGATAACAAAATTACAAAAATGGCTAGAGAGTGTGCCTCCACACCATATTCAAGACTAGTGAGACAAACAACAAAGGATCCTTTCTCTGACTGACTGAAGTACTCTCTACTCATAGAAATCTTTGTTATGAGCTTTCCCATACCCACTGTTGATCTTATCTACTGGCTTAAAATGAGTTGTAGTGAGGATGTGTGACCCTGATGTCAAAGAATGTTCTCTCAAAGGGTGCATTCACCCTCTTTTTTTAACGCCACTATTGGCACTCGAGTCCTTGATCTTTCCGATGGTTCACTGTGCCTTTTGAGCTGCCGTCCTTCAGCTTCTGTCAACTGAAATTACTATTCTAATCCAAGTTAAGGCAATCAGCCGACGCGCGGCTTTTATGGTTATATATGATATGTTTAATCTGTAATAAAGATCAAAATTCAAATTTGTTTCTCTAAAAAATTTGTTTCTCTTCAGTCCAACAGCTGCAACATCAGGACAGGCTTCATGCTGAGTGTTGGTCTTCCTTGAGAATGAAGTTGGTTGTACAGGCAGATGTGTAGAATACATCCTTACACTTTGATTCTTGGAGGAAGAAAGCTGCAGTATCTCTTATGGCATTTTTGAATTCCTTTTTAAATTTTTTTATTAGAGGGATGAGATGATGTACCCTACCTGTGTGCAGATATTTTGAAATCATGTTATAAGTCATCAGAGGGCCTTTTAATTGGGCTTATGTTATCTTCAGTAATAATTGCATATTAATAACCCCATTAACATTTCCCCTTTTTACTTATTTATCATTTATTATTATTCTATTTATTTAATTGATATAATATTTTATCATTGTGTACAGTGTCTATGACTCTATGTTTATAGTATATAGTTTTATAATGAGATTAATCAGAGCTGTAATATATTGAATTATACCATTATAATATTAGAAGGATATAGACAGCATTTTGAGCTTGAGTGGTGCAGGGCAGGGGGCAAAATCTTTTATGCACGGGTATTGGTGTGGGAGCAGTGGTGTAACGAAGGGCCCCGCTGACCCTGCCGGGGGGGGGGGGGGGGGGGGGGGGGGGGGGCCATCTTAGGGGGGCGCAAAATCGTCGTTTGAATGTGGGACAAATTTGAAAAACTTAACTGAGGTACTAGCAAAACTGCACGTTTTGCTCTAGAAACACACTTTTTTAGAGATTTTTCGGGTATATTCTCTAAAATCACCTAATTTGTTCAATTTAAGGGAAGGGCGCCAAAAGGGGAGAGGGCGCCAACAAGGGGGCGCATTTTCGGCGGGGCGCCAACAAGCAACGTTACGCCACTGAGTGGGAGTGTGTCTTGTTGGGTTTAGGTTGCAAGAATTTGGGTTGTAGTTCGAGTTGGAGATTTTGGTTTTGTGTCATAGCAAGGAGTGTTATAAAGTTGTTGTACTCTATAAGTGTATATTCACCTACAAGCATAACTGCTTGGCGTGATGAGGTACATCTTTGATTGGTCGAAGGTCTTTCAACAACACAGCATCATCACTTTCATAGTAGTCCCCGGCTTATGACGGGTTCATAGCGGTATTAAACATGTTTTTCTGGGCCCAAACATTCTACGCTCCTACTATGCTATTACTGGTCTCTTGACTAACTCCCAATCATCTGTCCATATGGTATTGTTTCTGGACAAATAGATGGTATACGATGCCCTCAGGCTGATCTCATCGATCTTCATGCAGGCCTTCTTCTTCTCTTTGTTGTTTACGTTCAGGTGGTTCATAAAGGTTGGGAGGCTATAGTTGTAAATGCCTCGAGCTCCCACTTCTACTGTCTGGAGCTTGCAAGCCCATCCGTTGGCTTCTATCTCTTCTGTCAGCTGCTGATATCTCTTCATCTTTCGCTTCTCTTGATCAGCAAAGTTCTGCTCATTTCCACAAGTCAGCTCCATTAGATAAACCTTCTTTGCTTTATCTGAATAGATCACTACATCAGGTCTTAGTGGTGTAGCTGCAATGTGCTGCGGGAAGTTCCTCTGTCTCTCATCCTCATCAAATATTATCTTCCAGTCGTTGGCATCTGAAAAGAAATATCTTTGGGTTTTATGATGAGTTGGGTCAGCTAAGGTAACCTTCTCGCGCTTATTGCCTGCCTTGTGAAAGACCGACGGTGCCCTCTTCGATTCCTTGGCGATGTCGGAATTAAACTCTTCAATCTGTGATGAAACGGTCTTCATGATTTCACGTAGGACCTGATCATGGCGCCAGTTGAAACGTCCCTGTCTTAGTGCAACCTTGCAGAACGTCAGGATATGATTGAGTGTCCCTTGTTTGCTGCAGAGTTTACAGTTTCCTGAAACGGCTTTATTCCAAAGCTTTAGGTTGCTAGGTGTTGACGCAGTGTCATGAATAGCATTGACATGAAACTTTAACAGTTCCGGACTAAGTTGATAGATCAAGTTATTCCACGTGGTGTCAAATGTCATTGTATTTTTCCATGTGAGAAAGAGGTTTTGCCGCTTTTTGTCAAAAAGTGAACAAATAAGTGTCTCTTCATCAAAGGTCCTCACCATGTTGGTTAGCAGTTTCCTCTCTGATTTGTCCTCATATCTTGTCCCATACCCGAGGCCAGTTGTACCAACTGCAGGTATAATTATAGTTATCTAATCTTTAGTTTAGAGTGTTGCATGTATTATAATTGTAAGTTTATTAATTTTTAATAATTGTTTTTCTCTTCTATGAGTAATTTGGCGCTCCACTAGCTACCTTAAAGCTACAACTTAGCCTGTATTTAAGTCAGTCATTTTAATACATTCAACACTGTTATATAATTGACTAGACACCCGCTAGTCGAAAGCTTTGCTCGAGGAAATTTTAAAAATCAGTTAATTACAATTACAGTGAATGGGATATTGACTTTGAATAAGGAATGTTATGACATGATTGGATCTTGTGATATAAATTAAGAATAGCTCATCGCATGTGATCCTCGACAAGCTAGTATGTTTTACTACAAGCTTTCGGTTCTTCACGATTGACTTTAACATTGATTACTTTAACTGGTTGTTTCACTTGTCCTCACTTACTTTAATAGGATCAAAAGTTCCATTTTCGTATTTGGCAGGATGAGGTCTATCTTCATTACCTATGATTAAATACCAAACATATTATGATAACAAAATCAAGACAAATAACACTATCTTTATATTTAACAGGAATGATGGCCGGGGAAAATATAACACCATCTGTAATTCCCTCGCGTCCCTACGTGGACCACATTCCCCAGAAACTGAAGTTATCTGAACACTTCAGTTCACTCATGCTCAGCTTTGACCGCTGGGCAACAATCATAGAGGTTTTATCCATGACAATCTTAACTTTTGTTGCTTGGTTCTACGAGATTAAAGTTGAAGGAAGCATGTCTTTGTTCCATGTAGCGCTTGCAAAGTGGGGCTTGAGCTTGTTCAGGAGGATTTATAACAACTATCTGGAGGCAACTTTCTGTGCATTTCCTAGCTACAGGACCCAGACTGTGTCTGAGCATCGACTGAATAAGGAGAGGGATCTGACTGGACGAGACAAGGAGCAGATGAAATACATTGTATACCAGGATAAATTGATTTTTGCCGGTCAGTTCTGTTTTGATTTGGTGGTATACTTCATGCTGCCTGGTTATTATCCGGGAGGGGATATCACAGGTACTCTCTCAGAGAGGGTCATGAAACTAGCTCTCAACCATTATGTTCTGTCATTTGGCATGTATTGGGGTCACAGAGCACTCCACAAGAATGCGTGGCTTTGGAGGAATGTTCACTCTGTCCATCACTTTGCAAAGCATCCCTTGTCCAGGACAACATTCCAGGAGCACTGGGGTGATAAGATCTGGAATGCCTTTTTTGGGCACTTGTTTGCTCAGCTTCTCGTACCCTTGGATAGGCAAATGTTCTATGTTTCAAGGATCCTACGAACATGTGAGAGCCTGGAGAAGCATTCTGGATCAAGTGGTCCTTTCAATCTGGTTCATTCGGTTCAGAGGTGGATTCCATTTGCAGACATGCCCCACCATCACGACTGGCACCACGAGGGACACAAGGGTTCCAACTTTTCCTTCACACCAGTCGGGGGACTTTGGGATTGCCTGTTTGGAACAAGAAATGCTGGTCGAGCTTCTGAGGCGGCGCAGACGTCTAATGATGTGTTGGAAAAAAGCCAAAAGAGAGTGCCTCCCACAGCTGATACAAGCTTCTTTGACGGGCAATATTCCTGTTTTATCCCGCAAGCGTGTATGACAGGAGCTGTTGCTTTGAGGTTAATGAACATTATTTAAGTGAAAGATGTTGTTATCAAAGTCTTGATACTTCAAATCTGGATGAGTTCAGTTAGCTGGAGGAGTTTACCAAGCTGTACTAGTGTAGGCCCGGGCAATAAAACGCATTTTACTGTTTTTAGTTTTATAGTTTTAACAGTTCTTTTATTCAAATTTCTGATTGTTTCTGAATAGACTCAGTGAAGAAAGATTCTAATGGAAATAAATAGCTGAATAAAGTCATTTCTACGTCATACTCATATTCTCAATAAATGTAATAGATTTGTAGTGTTGTAATTAGTTTAAAACTTTGTAATTAGTTTAAAACTGTTGTAATTAGTTTACAACTTTAAAAACTAATTACAACACTACAAATCTATTACACTTATTGAGAATATGAGTATGACGTAGAAATGTCGATACGTTATTCAGCTATTTATTTCCATTAGAATCTGTCTTCACTGAGTCTATTCAGATACAATCAGAAATTTGAATAAAAGAACTATCAAAATGAGACTCAACAACACTACACGAATCCACCAGTTTTACCAGTCTTCGAAAACATTTATATTTTATAACCGTATTCAGTATTTCGTTTTTAATCAGATTATTTTGGTAAGAGATAAATCTACCGTGACCCTATTTATGTTGAATAACTAAAATATTGATAAGATCTTGTATTTTGTACATCGAACAGCATTTTAACATGGGAATTTATATTCGATTTTAGTGTGAATCTCGATAGTTTTAAATTTAATTAACATTTCTGAATATGAGTTTGAAATGTTGAATCGTGACCCGTTTTATGCCACCCTCTCTGCCGTTCTCGCGCTTGCGCTCACCCACTCATCAGTGGGCTGTTCATTTGACAGAGTTACTGGCTGGCACTCCCATCATCTTCTCACTCACCATCACTGCCCGATCAAATTTATGCAACCCATAATCATATGGTCAAAACACAAAGCTTTGAAATATACTCTTTTCTGTTTGAGATTTAAAATAACGTTACTGTAATGTTCCAAATTATATTTTAGATGTTCAAAAATGACCCTATTCATGTTGAATAACTAATATATTGATAAGATCTTGTATTTTATACATCGAAAAGCATTTTAACATGGGAATTTCTATTCGATTTCACTGTGAATCTCGATAGTTTTAAATTTAATTAACATTTCTGAAGATGACTGTGACATTTTGAATCGTGATTTATCTATTAACCTATATTAGAATATTGTCATCACTGAATCTATTCAGAAAAATCATAATAGTTCCTGAAAGAATCATCAAAAGAGAAAAAATTTGAAAAAGAGAAACCTGAAAAAATCATCAAAAGAGCAATCGGAATTGTTGTACGTTTCATAAATCAGAGGTAGCTGAACTATATAATTAGGTAATTTGGCAGGAAACCTCAAGATTGTCTATCAATTAGTATTGGGGGGTATTACTATTAGATACCAGAGGGGCATTCAAAATTAAATTGCAGTGTGTTTGGACTGAGCGAGTTCATACTTTCGCACCGTTTTAACTACGAAAATGTAATGCGTTTTTCAGAATATAATAGGCGGGTTTAAACTTTTGCATTTCAACTGTGATAGTGAAGTCCCAGCCATAGGTACGGGTTACACTAAAACAAGTAAGTATATTTTTCCTCATTTCCGACGTTGATTATATTTACACTGGCGCAAGTTGGAAAATGTGATTAAACTTTGAAAAATTTTAATCACGTACAGGAAAATGACACGTACACAGTTTAATCATGGTTGTAGCGTCAAACTTAAAGTAGATGATCACTGACCAGTGACACATTGAGCTTGCTGGGGAGTCTATTTCTCTTTAAGAAAAATTAATAATAACATATATCGTTCATCACTAATATTTTATATTTTATATAACTAACAAATAATTTGAGGACAACATGACACTTCAAAACTTTGAACATAACACGAGGAAATATGGGCAGAACTGAACAAGAACAAAAACCACATTTAAAAACTAAAAAATCTGGAGGACTCTGCGACCCAGGAATTAACTACTCAGTTATCATCGCTCAATAATCGGTTTGGTATCGACGTTACTAAAAATACTCAATTGTAACTGCTGTTTTACAGAACTCTAAATGTTTAATGAACACTCTTGCAGGTATTGCCCGTATTCACACTCAGACCTGAGTTTAGTCATATTCCAATACGAGATTGGAGACGGGTTCTATAAACAAACAAACATCAAGCCAACAATATTTTATAGAAATTTATTATTTACAAAAAATGGGGCTGATTCGTGTAACATACGTGTTTGAAACATTAAAGATGGTGGCTGGCTTGATGCAGTTCAAATTTTCGTGGTGTCAATCGTGTCTTTTTCAGTGACGCAATATAAATAAGATATGAATCACTATGTAGCTTTCGTTTTCCCTTGATTAGCATTAATTGGTAAGGTTTTCACTTCATAGGTGGTAAATATAGTTTTTCAGGGCATAATTTGGGGTACAGTACAGTATGAGGTTAACATTTTGACTTTCACGCACAGATGTTTTACCAATATAATACAATATAATGTATGTTTTGGTAAATGTTTATTATGAAATAGTATTTTACATATTCACATGAGTTTTATTAAATTGGGTTATTTTAAATTTAGGTGAACACTAAACATTGGTTATTCCTACCACCCATTAAATCTTGAATTAAACAAATCTTTGATTGATAATGAAGTTTTCAACTAAAAATAAGAGTTCAACAGCTCTTTAACTTTCAATAAATAGGACCTTAGAAATCAGTATTGCGGCGGCATAACTAGGATGTGATTATCTATCCTTAATAGTATTTATACTGGCGCCAATTGGAAAATATGGGTAAACTTTGCAAAATGTAATTTTGTTAAAGGCCCAGAAAAACATGTTTAATACCGCTATGAACCCGTCATAAGCCGGGGACTACTATGAAAGTGATGATGCTGTGTTGTTGAAAGACCTTCGACCGATCAAAGATGTACCTCATCACGCCAAGCAGTTATGCTTGTAGGTGAATATACACTTATAGAATACAACAACTTTATAACACTCCCACATCATTAAAAAATTTTGTTAAACAAACATTCCTCCTCATTTGTGTCAGATACATGTTTGATACATTAAAGATGGTGGCTGGCTTGATGGAATTCAAATTTTCGAGGTATTAACCGTATCTTTTTCAGTAACGCAATATAAGATATTAATCACTATGTAGCCTTTATTTTCCCTAAGTTTTTGTAAGCTTAGCAATAATATTGGTATATTTTAGGTGAAAATTAAACATTGGTTACTTCTACCACCTATTAAATCTTGAATTAAACAAATCTTTGATTGATAATGAAGTTTTCAACTAAAAATAAGAGTTCAACAGCTCATAAACTTTCAAAAAATAGGACCTTAGAAATCAGTAGAGCGGCGGCGGCGGCTCCCAAATTACATAAATATGAACAAAAAGAAAAGCGTGCATGATGCGCGCGCCTACCATGCGGTTTGCACTGTCTGGATGCACCGCGCAGCCACCGTTCGCAGATTGATCCAAATTGAGGTAATGATTTATCACTTGAATTATCAACCATTTAATTAATTTGGAAATAAAATTTCAAGCGAGAGGCTCCGGGAACAAATCAAAAAGAATGTTATAACTATGTCAATTAAAACAATATACAAATAAATAACACACTAACTCCGAAATATCTGGTAATCCAATTCTCAAAACAGTCATCCACCTATCCAGGAATCTCACTCAGATCAATTTGCAAAGATCCAACGGTCCTCATTATATCTTTTTAATTGCTCGGTTATGTGGAGAGCATGTGGCAGTGTATAACGTACGGGGGCCGGAGGTCTTTTGGAGACAAAATATCATTCATGAGTACAGCTTGAAGGGTAAAGATGGGGGTTTCGGATGGGACATGTTAGTCTGTAATGTAGGGATACATTCGCCGATGGAATGCACCCAACAATTATTCAATTATGCTTTGAAAGTCAAACAATAATAATTATGTGAGTATCACAGGGCAAAAAGGCTGCCTGACGCAGTTGTATCCAGCATGTGAACAATATAATAAACATTTCTAGTAATATAATCCAAATATTTCTAGTTTTAGAATATGACCTCAAATCCAATTGCCACTCTGAAAATGCTTCCCATAAAATTGGAGCCAGACTTAATTAAGGAACTAAATTTGACAGAATCCTGTCCTAATAAAACATCTGACATTCGGCAATTTCTGCATAATATATTAGGAAAAAGTTAGAATCAGCCAGGTGAACCACGGGGAAAATTGTAACTTTAAAACCTATCAGCTTGCAAACTTCATAAAACAAAGTTTAGGTAAATGAACCAGCATCAAATTTAAATAAACTTTAAATTCCAATTAAAGCCGAATAATTAAAATTTCTAAAGAATCGTCCTATATTACAATTCTTCTTTATTTTCCTTATCGTCCTTTTCTTCTACAACTTCTTCTTTAGGCTTCTCTTCAACAACTTCTTCTTTGGGCTTATCCTCAATAGTGGAGGTCTTCTCTTCAGTGGATTCTTCTTTCGGGGTTTCAACCGGTTTCTCCTCAGATTTTGTGTCTGCTTTATCATCAGATTTTGCTTCTTCCTTGTCTTCCAGTTTTGTCTCTTCTGCTTTCCCTTCTTCTGTCTTCTCCTCCTTCTTCCCCTCTTCGGTAGTCGTACTCTTCTTTGCTTCCTCTGCAGTCTTGGTACTGTTCTTCAGCGCCTCCATCATCTTAGCCAGTTTATCTTTGTACCACTGAGGGATTGGTTTCCTAACAAGATAGGACAAGTCCCGTTCAAGTGCTGTCTTCTTTGTCTTGATTACCTCCGACTTAAGGACCGGATCTACGTTCTTGGATAAAGCATCCTGTGCTTTTCCAGTTGTCTCAAGCCACTCCTGAAAGACAAAACTTGTTAGTTTACTGTTAGTTTAGCTGCGTGTAGTACTGATGAAATTAGCCAAAGGTTTCCTTGGAACCAGAGAATCAATTAGTCCCAACATCCAATAATTAAGTAGCCACCATGCATAAAAAGTGCATCTTAAAAAGGGCACAGCTGAAAGATAAAATCCGTTCGGACCTATAAATCTAAAGTTCTCTATAACTCCTCTCGCGCTCTCTTTTGGCTAATTTCATCAGGTTTAACATGCTTTTGTTTGCCTCGTCAAGAACTGTCAATATGTCCCGAGCGTAAGGGAACGACGGGTGGTAATTTCCAGATTTGTTCTTGAGTCGGTCAAATTTCGACTGAAATATGTGTGCCACACATTAACAACAGCTTAAATGGAGTGAGGCTCAGCTGCGTTATGTGAAATTGCGATGAAATGTAGAGATGGAATGTAGAGATGAAAGTGGACGTCTAAATTAGCTAATTATATCACTCCGCTACCTCCGAACCTATAATTGAGCTCATGTTTGAACCCTTCCCTTTAAAACAAGCTCAACTACTCAATGAGAAATTGCCGTGAAATTGCGTCCAGAAGCGAGCTAATATTTAATCAACATACCAATATTTGATCTCATTTCTGCTGCCCCCAACCCCCCCCCCCCCCCCCCCCCATATAAAAAGTTGTAGTATCCCATTACCTTGGTAGAGGTGAGCAGTTTCTCCAAGTTCTCCATCTCGACGGTAGTGTGGTAGCGGAACTCTTCCGAAGTGTTCGCTATCTTTACCAGGAACTGTTCTGTCAGGTTGAACGCTTGCTTCAAATCTGAAACGTGCGATTTGTTAATGTTACAGTTTCCACGTTTCATGTAACGTGCATTTTAACCCGGAATGTCCGTACAATATACTGTTTGTTTCCGTGGCGCAAATTTGCAGATAATTTTTGTAATCAGACACACTGTAACTATTCGTATAATGCATTTAAATTGTATGTATTTACAAATACCAGCAAACTCATCACAAGTCACACACCGATTGTTATTATATTTATGTCGGAGCTAATTTAACTGAACTAGCCGACCAATTTAGACTCTTAAGTCAGGAGACAGGAGTCCAGGAGCTCCTGAGTTAGTGTCACAACTGCGCTCCATGCACATAATTGGATGCCCCGTGTTCTAACTATCCGCAATGCAGATAATTATGTCCAATATCTATACCGTTCCAACTGTGAAGCGACCAGACGTCGAGACCCCGACATATCTACATATCTACATATTTATCTGCAACTAAAAGAATTTCTACGGAACTACCAGAGTACCATCGGGTACCATATGGTTCGGTAATTTAGAAGCGTGGTGAGGGTGTGCGCTGTAGGGTTTTTTTGGACAAGACTAAGGGGGACTAAGAGAAACGAGCACGTTATGAAACTGATTTAAACTATTGTAGCATATTTAACAGTAAGGAAAATGGGAGCTAGCTGTTGAACTTCTTTGAAGTGACAAAACTCTCTCAAAATAATACGAGGCTGTGCTGATTAGAGCTGTTTGATTCAGCTTAAATAAACATGTCCAATTATCACGCTTATTTCAGTAATCATTCCTCCGACATCAATCTCGGGCATCCGGTATTAACCTCGGGCTTTCCGGTACTAACCTCGGGCTTCCCGTCTCAACAATAATTCGATATTCATGCATACAATATCATTGTCTTCGCGTCTGCGGCTATCAATCAACTTTCAAATCATCAAACAACTAGCTCCTAAATTCTGTTATCTTTAAAATTGATCGTTATCAGAATTTATCTTTGGCCGTAATCAATCATAAATCATTTGTCAATCATTCGGTATCGTACTGTGTCATGCTGTTCAATAAATGATTCCGCTTATTTGATCAAAGTTTGAATCACTCGAGATCTCTCAAAGAATTTAACACTACTTCAAGATTTAAGATTAAAGTGGATTTATCATTTTATTGTCCTAGATTCAAATTCTTGTCCCAAAATCAGGAGATGGAATCAGGTACTTTAAAGAAATCAGTCTGGAATCAGTTGGCACAGCTCCATATCCAACTTTACAACTTTCACGTGAATTCTACAAAAAACTAAAATTATTAAAGAAACTAAAGTTAAAAATCTAATTACGCATGCGAACTCGATCTCTACAATACTTCCCCGTAGAAAAGCTTAAAAATAAATTCCTCTCTGCAGTCTTTGAAAAGTTGAGAATTAAAAGTGAGACCAGTATAAAATCTTAGGGCATCATATGACAAAATTGTAAAATTCTATATATTCAAGGTCGGAACTGTGTAATTATCGGTTCAACCGTCAATCATTGTTTGGGCTGCATTAGGCAGTAAATTCAAGTCTTTAAAAATTAATGTTCAGTTCACTTGCACTGGAGCTTCATTTGCAATAGAGTTTTTTTTGTCTTGATACAGTGTTCCAAATCACGACAAGCCGGGACTACCCGACAAGGGGAAGAGCAGGAAAAGTAGAAGAAGTACCAACAGTGATAAAGAAGAGATTGATGAGCGTGGCCGGCCAATGGCTCGTGTCGAGCCTCTGGAACCTGCCGAGGGGAGTAGTGTGTTCACTGCAATGTTATATTGTTAGTTTGATAGATTGTTGATTGTTACATTGTAGCCGTTTGAGGAGTTTCTTTTGCATTATGTTGCAGGTATCCAGGGTAACCGAGGTCGAAAGACTTCGCAGACTGATCAGTGAGCGATCAGCGACTACAGTGAGCGACTACAGTAACAGAGAAGTGTAGACCCTCAAGCATTTACTACAGGCTCAACAATTTATAGGGTAGTAATTCCTCATTGGAGAGCCACTACTTGAAGGTTCCGTCCAATCTGGTCGAGTCTTTGTTAGTCTTTAGTAGGAGAATCTTTGTCATTATCTTTAAGGTCTTTGATGCTTCAAGAGATAACTTACATCTTTTCAGGTCGAAGAAATTACGGGTGAGGTACTGGACATTATCCTTGCTTTCTAACCAGCTCTTCACTTAGCTTGTTAATACTAGCGCCGGCACGCGGCATGTCTACGAGGGTGTTTACAGTGGTGCCAAACAAATTTGAGTCCAAGTAGAAGTGGCCTTCACAGAAATTGACCTGTGAAGACTGAAGATGGAGAGACAGAATCTGAAGCGGTGTTCTCCCTCCCTCCAGGGGAGTGGTGACCTAGTTTTGTGGTACCTCAGATGTATTATTGAAAGGAGTCGAGTAGTTTGCTTGAGGTCGATGGTTCAGCAGGTCAGGGTTCTGTATACCCACAGGACCGCTGTTTGGAGTATAATGCTGATTACTTGCAGTGTTCTGGTACGGCTGGTGCACTGGATGGCTGGCTGTTGGTACTGCTGCAGGTGCGTTTGTAGTGGTGAAGCTTCTGTTATTGTAACCGTTATCGTAGCCAGGCTGGTAAGCTGGGCTTTGATAAGGTTCTTGAGGTCTAACATCTTCTTGGTCTCTGTTAGGTCCATTGTAGATGGGTCCTTGTTCCGAGAAATGACCAGGTCTGCTGTTGCCAGGTCTACCATATCTTGGCGATGTGAAGTTAGGTCGTCCTATCTGTCCATTCAATCCACTAGCGCTCCAACTTCCCTCGTCTCTCATCTTTTTACGACAATCTCTTTGAAAGTGGCCATAGTTTCCACAATAGTGACACTGGACGCTGTTGTTTCGTCTTTGGTTTTGGACCACCGAGTAGTTAGGACAACCATTAGCGTAGTGACCATACTGATAGCACTTGTGGCACTGTACTTGGCCTCTTAAGTTGCCAGCATGAGGCTGTTGGTCATATCTGGGATCAGCTGGTTGGCCAGGATTGTGAGAAGACAGCTGATTTATGAACTGCTGGGGATGATAATTTGAGCCTTGTTCAATACCATAGACTTGGCTTTGCTGCACTGCTCTACTTTCTGTTCCAAGGCGGCTCTCGTATTGGCCGACGGTATATTGAGGCAGGCCCATTGGATAATGATTGTGAGGTCTGTTAGTTTGTTCTGCTTCGCCTATGGCTAGTGATTCATGCTTGTCGATGCTAACTTCATTTTTAAGAACAGCGACGTGGACATTATCTTCATCACGTAGCGAAGACCTGGCCCTATAAGCTCCGTCCAACTTGACGGCTTTTTCGAGAGCAGTTTTAAAATCTATCTCAGGTTCATTTATCAAAGAAACAGCAATTTCATCTCTGTTCAATCCTCCAGTCAGGGCATCTTTTAAAATGGAGTGCATAGCGTCTTGTTCATCAGCAGTGTAACCTAATTTAGCCAGGTCCATAAGTCTTTCTCCGAACTCCGACACTGTTTCATCCAGTTTTTGTTTAGCTTTTTTCAGTTCGTATCTTGCTTTGACCGATCCACTGGGGGAGGTCAAGGCTGTAATCGCCTCTCTACGAAATTCTGCCCAGTCGTCCTTCCTAACTAGGTCATTGGCAATCAAGGCATTTAGTGACTTTTGGTCGAGATAAGTCAGGAAAGTATTAATTGCCTCAGCACCTGCAAGGTTCATTATCCTTCGAAAAGGTTCAAAGCTATCGAAATACGAAGTAATGTGAGAAGTGGTCGGGTCAAACGAGTTAGGCCGGCGACTCCCAGCAACTCCAGCTCTGAAGTCAACTTTGGCTTGGTTAGTAGCTTGCACAGCAGCCTCCCTTTGTGCTTGCATAATAAGGTTCTCCACGGCAGCTTTCTTTTCAGTACTCAGCTCAAGTGCTTCAATGGAAGCCATTTTCAATCGATGAAATTATTACCAACTTCGGGATCAGGAGTCTTTAGAACTTCATTGCCCGGGTTCTCCACCAATTGTGCGCTGTAGGGTTTTTTTGGACAAGACTAAGGGGGACTAAGAGAAACGAGCACGTTATGAAACTGATTTAAACTATTGTAGCATATTTAACAGTAAGGAAAATGGGAGCTAGCTGTTGAACTTCTTTGAAGTGACAAAACTCTCTCAAAATAATACGAGGCTGTGCTGATTAGAGCTGTTTGATTCAGCTTAAATAAACATGTCCAATTATCACGCTTATTTCAGTAATCATTCCTCCGACATCAATCTCGGGCATCCGGTATTAACCTCGGGCTTTCCGGTACTAACCTCGGGCTTCCCGTCTCAACAATAATTCGATATTCATGCATACAATATCATTGTCTTCGCGTCTGCGGCTATCAATCAACTTTCAAATCATCAAACAACTAGCTCCTAAATTCTGTTATCTTTAAAATTGATCGTTATCAGAATTTATCTTTGGCCGTAATCAATCATAAATCATTTGTCAATCATTCGGTATCGTACTGTGTCATGCTGTTCAATAAATGATTCCGCTTATTTGATCAAAGTTTGAATCACTCGAGATCTCTCAAAGAATTTAACACTACTTCAAGATTTAAGATTAAAGTGGATTTATCATTTTATTGTCCTAGATTCAAATTCTTGTCCCAAAATCAGGAGATGGAATCAGGTACTTTAAAGAAATCAGTCTGGAATCAGTTGGCACAGCTCCATATCCAACTTTGCAACTTTCACGTGAATTCTACAAAAAACTAAAATTATTAAAGAAACTAAAGTTAAAAATCTAATTACGCATGCGAACTCGATCTCTACAAGGGTAACATTTAATTGACACTTCTTTGAGAACTTCTTAGTCTAATTCTATTAGGGGTACGGTGTTGGTAGCTGGTGCTCAATGTGTACTAACTACTAACTATAACTGTTGTTTCAGAGCACAGTTGTTGTTCAAGATAAGTCGAATTTCGTAGATCTTAGTGGTTGAACTTTTAAGGTCATGCATTTTTTTTTTCGGTTGAGAATAAGCAGGTTCAATATC